CAACTTTTTGGACGTTTTTACAGCTGATTACTTACTTCGGGAGCCATATAATTGGGGGTGCCACAAAAAGTTCGTGTAGTCTGACGCTCGGTAACGCCCTCTTTGCTCAACCCAAAGTCCACCAGCTTTACGTGCCCCTCGCCATCCAGTAAAATGTTATCCAGCTTCAGATCTCTATAGATAATGTCACGCTCGTGGAGGAAAAATAGGGCAATGGCCACTTCCACAGCGTAGAAACTAAGCAAATGACTTTCAAATATTGTCCTTTAATATTAATATGTTAACTCACATAGCCACAGACTCCTTGAACCTTCCATACTGCTGCATATGATACATAAGATCTCCACCCTTACAGTACTCCATTACGAAGAATAATCGGTCCATAGTCTGGAAACAGGAGTGCATGGAGACGAGGAAAGGTGGTCGTCCGGATAAGGCCAGAATTCTCTTCTCATTCATGGGCAGCTCCATGTCGTCCGTTTGGATAATGACATCCTTTCGCAGGACCTTCACGGCATACAGCTCATCAGTGCCACGACGCTCGGCCAGCAGGACCTTGCCAAAGGAGCCCTTGCCAATAACTTTAACAAAGTTGAAATCAGCAGCTCGTATCATATCGCGTTTGCTCATGTTATGCGGCATATCCTTGTTGTCCATGCGACGCTTATCATTCGGCCGACGATCGTGCTGAAAAAATAATAAATAATTTTATAATATTATTTACGTGGCGGATTAGATGGTGCCGATTGCTTACCCTAACTTCATCCCGTAGGCGAGCTATATCATTAAAGGCATCCACACAGGGTATATTATAGTGTTCACCCTCCACTTGCGAGAGGAACTTGTACCAGCCATCAACTGGCTCCTTTTGCAGTTCCTCCAGGCTGAACGAGAAGGATCCCATGAAGTCATTGCGAGAAGTACGATCCCAGTCCCAGACCTCGATCAGCAAACGCTTGTCCCGATCCTGAGGCTGCAACTCACTAGGATAAAGGAAAATAAAGATGTGTAGGTCTAGTAGGCGGATAATTAAAGGGCATTTTAGAATATTACAATGTCAAAGTCTCGTTGAAGACTGGATTGAGGTTTTTCTGAATGGTCTTGGTCTTCTTCTTGGTGCGGCCCGAACGGTCCGGATGCATCTGCACCGCAATATAGGGATCGCTAAAGCCGTTGGTATCCATGGGAATGAGGTTAGCCGCCTCCTTAACTGCGACATGCAAGAAACATTCATCTTTATGTGGGCGTATAAACTTTGAGTGATAACTTACTATCAACTTTCAAGTTATTGCCCTTAAGCTCCACGTAGAGCAGTAGTTTGCCCCTCACCTCGCTGATGTCCGCACCACACATCGGTGGCACTGTCTCCTGGCAGGCGTGATGCACATTGAGGTTGCAATCTGAAATATTTGGGTTAATAGCTTGAAAGGAATAGAACTTGAGTTTATTCCGGAATTTACTCTCGCACTTGACGCCCTGATGGGCGACTCCATGGAGCAGAAGTCCGCACTCGTCGCAGAATGTCGGTGTGGTGTAGGTGGTGGAGATCCAGCCGTGCTTCACTTTGGCGCAGTCGGCATCGAAGTCCGTGTCCTTGCCAGGACACTTGAACACCACGAACTTACAGCACTTCTGGTGAATGTTGAAGCGGCACTCTGCGTAAACAAGTTAAAATAAAATGATCATATGTAATTTGAAATGAAATTAAATGAAAACTTTGCTGCCTACCCTCGCATTGAAAACCTTGCTTGCCAAAGCCCCTAATCCCGGCACGAATCCGTGAATGCAACAATGCGAAACGGAAGAGCGGCGAAAAAATATAGAAAAAACAACGAAAAGTGTGTCAGCAACGAAGGCACTAATTAAATTAACGATGGGTACGCTGCAATGCGAGCAAAAAATCGAAAACAGAATTCCTCACCAAATGAAGTCCTTGCAATGACCACAGTAGGTTGGATTCTTAAAGAACCTCACTCCGAAGCGATGGCCATTGACCATTTCGAGACCCTTTCGCTTCATCGCACCCTTCCTCAGCCGATTCTTCATATAGTTGACGATGTTTGCCTCGCCAGCGATCTCCAGTAGATTTCCTGGACCCTTGCCAGCTCCAGCCGGTGGAGCCTTGGCCCCTGGAGCAGCACTGGGCGCCGAGGGAGGGAGCACAGTGGCCCCCGGTGTGGCAACAGCAGCCGCAGCCATCAGGAGATAGTATCAGGGAATTGGATAGCTGACTCAGACCGCACGGCTTCAAGCCCGTCTAGAAACTGACCCGGTCGGTCAGGTGGAGACCCTAAAAGAAGCAACTTGGAAGCCAACAAAGTGCACACAAAGTTGAAGGCGAGCAAATGACAAAGAGTCAGGCGAACGGGCGACATTTTGAAATACTACCCTCTAATGCAATAGTGCACAAAAAAGTGATTTTACTCATTAATTTCCCAGAAATTTATTCATTTTTTTCCTAGCTTATAGCCACCGCCAATATCCCAATAAATTTTTGTAGACCGAAGAAAAAATTAATTATAAATACAACAAAATACATGTCATTAAAAAATCTGCAAAGGTTTGAGAGAAATGCCTTTTTAATTTAAAACTATTTCTGCACAGGTAAAAAACGTAAGTGGAAATAAAATATTAATGATTGAACAAGCGAACTTGCTAAATGGTAATTTTGCATAAAATGTTAATAATGCACACAACGAATTGAATTATATTTAATAGTCCCTTTATTAGTTATTTTTTCAACCATTTCAAAAGTACCTCTGAATATTTGTGGAACAATTAAACAAAATTAAAGTGTGCCTTAACTGGCGTATGATTTATTTTTGCAAAATCCTAGGTATCGTCCACATTTTAAAAGTTCGTTCTGGGTTGTCCACAACGCTGAAAGCGATGTATCCAGCATCCTTAGCGCCTAACTGGTCCCCATTGGTCTTAGCTATATTGCTACGCAGCCATTTCCACTTCCTGAGTAATCAGCACTTATCGTCCTGTGCTCCTCGCTGATTCAGTTAGTTCAGTTTAGTTAGCCCCTCGCAATTGTCTCCCCGGGCAAACCACTCGACGGCAGCCCGTCAATCGAACGGAGGACCCAAGAGTGAAAGCTGAGTGCCAAGAACTCTCGTCTTTGGGCCCTTACCAGCGATAAGTGTAAACAGCTTGGGAAAGGTCAAGAAGGTGCTTACCTGGCCAGAAGACAAACATAATCATCATCGGAGGCATTGCTCCGGACAACTGCAGTTGTGACGTCAATGCAATAAAAGTGGAAAAGTGGGCGAAGGGCGTTGGGCGTTGGGAAAATGGGGAGTGGTGCATGTGTGTGGCACTATTGTCGATTGAGTATTTATACTGTGTGGCAGTTTTGATTAATTTATGCAATTGCTGGCAGGGCACGTTTTCCGTAAAAGGAGCCCCCATTTATCCGCCGCCCCTGCATGCCAGCTGGCTTTCAGTGCATGGCTAAAAATAGAAATAGAAAACGCAGAATTGAGCACAAAGTGCACACAGGACACAGAAGGACACACGCTGGCAAGGCAAACAAAGTAAAGGCGGTTAGATGAAATCCAAGCTGAAACAACTAAAAACGCTACCGAAAGCAGCGATGAAATGGGTTGGAAAATGCATTAAAGCGGAAATGTAGGATCTTTGTCAGGGAAAAATGCCATTAGAGCAGGTCCAAGTCAAAGTATCTAAGTATCTGCAGTGGCACGCGTATCTGTATCTCAGAAGTGCACTCAGTGAGTCGACAAATATGCACTCGCAGATTGCCCAGAACTACAGAACTGCACACCTGTCGGTTGAAAGGCATTGACAAGGGGGTTTCGGCGAGCGGGGGGAATTGCAAATAGATTTCGTTGCCGTGGCAGCTTTGGCTTTCAATTTACGTCATCATTTCCATGGCGTCGCCAAACAATTTTCCCCTCCATTTTTCCCTCTTGGCCATTTCACAAAAGCAGGCCAAGCCGCAAAGAGCCAGAGAGCCGCCTCTCTGCGTATAACACCTTTTGTTTAGCTTTACTTCCAGTTATTTACTTTGACTTTGCCTTACTTTACTTTACTTTACTCTCCCCTGCCTTCGTTTGCTTTTGGCCCAGGCTGTGTTTTCCTTTTTCTGTTGTTCGCCATTTCAACATTTGGCAATTCCGCTTGGCTACTTGTTAGCCGACCGTCTTGTTTTTGACCTGCGCCCTTAACACCTATTGATCTGCAGCGCACCTGTCGTGGGTTACTGGCTTATAACGACCTTTAGACCATAGCACTTAAGATCGTTGCCAGCCGAAAGCCTTTAAGATCAAGTTTTGGGATTTGGATAACATGTCTTTACAGATGTAAACGGTTTGATCCGCTAAAAATCAATTGAATAATTGTAAATTTGAAAGGGAAATTATTTTTAATTTGAAGTAGAAGCAGTTGGTTCCACATAAATTGTGTAAAGTTGGCACCGCAATTAGCACTTTTAGATATAGATCGAAAACATTTTAATGGCCAGCTGACAATTGACAATTGTTGTCTTTTTAAAATGCAAATATATTCGTCGGAGCAACATATCGCACGTACACCAATATGGTTGTAAAAACCACAACAATTAGGCGAACAAGAGGCAAATGGCCAACCATAATTAACAGTGGCCCATAAAGTTGAACGAACACAATTGTGCGAGCTGACAAAACCGCAACAAAACGGCAAACTGGACATTATCCGTTTGCCAGTGGGTATGAGCTGGGAAAACTGCCTCAAACCTTGTGATTTGTTTATACGGCTCTCGGCAAAGTCATGACGTTTGGCCCTCCAAAGGAAAGAGAGATAGACAGTAAGGAAATAAAATAGACAGAGTGGCGGGCTAAACAACAAATTGCCAACATGCTGAAGGAGGCGGAGCACGGGTCGTATACGCAATCTGTTATACCAAAAAGTCGCCGGCAAGTGATGAAAAGCGCCTGCGCCATCCAGCCAGTGGGAAAACTATCCCAAAAATGACTCTGGAAAATCCTTGCAGCCAGTCGCACTCGCAGGCGCTACGGGGCAGGTCGCTTGATACGGCAGCATACGCGGCGTATACGTAACGTGGAAAAGGACAGGATTTTCTCGTGCATCGAGTGAAGGTGCACGGCTGTCTTTTAACATTGTGCCACAGTCCCAAACGTGTTCCTCATCAATTAAAGCCCCCCGCTGACCGACTGACTAACCTGTCTCGCGTGCCCAAAATTTATTTGATTTCGTGCAAAGGGCCGTTGGCGTAAACAAAACGTGTCCAAAGCACTGGAACAGTCATCTATCGCTCTGCCTGGAAGTTGCGTCAGACTCACGCAGCTTCCAAGACGGTTTCGTGGGTAACTGGCGAGTCTGCTCTGCGACATTCACCGTTCTGAGTTGGCCCCAAGTGCACGTGGGCCAGCTTTCAGTTTCGGTGCCATTTCACCCCCAGCACCAAGAGCACCGACTATAGAATTTACCATAAATAAATCCAAAGGCAGCCTCTGTAATCAGCCAGCCAATTTTCCCATCCTTCAGTGCGCGAATTTGGCGAGCCCTGTGATTCGGCTTTTGTGCAACTTTTCACCGTGTAATTGAAATTAATGATCATTGTGCGGGGTGGCTCTGTAATTCCGGTTTCGCTGGTCCAAAACAACGCCAATGCCCCGCATTTAATCTTGAAGAAATCGCGGCACTTTGCTTTATTAAAGTGTCTCCCCAGGGACAAATATCACTCAAAGTTTGGCGAAATTAATCTCACAAATTGATATGTGACAGCTAGGTGTGAAATATTGTCCAGGGAAAGTAGGAACCACCTTTGGGAGTCAAGGCACTGCTTAATTTATTTATACATGTTTACATGTTAGAAAGTGAAACAACTGAGGATGGGGTTCAAAAATATACAATATATACTCCCTTAGCTTTTGCCTGCTCAATAAAAATGTAATTGTTTGTCATTTTTAGTTCTTCCTCCTGCTTTCCCATACCCCTACAATATTCCTTAGGGACTTAATAAAATACAACTTTATCGGAAAAGCCATTTGCACCAAGGTTTGCAATCATCGAACTCCCTTTTCAGAATGCAAAATTGATTGCAGCGCATCAGCAGCAATTTAGCAAACAGATAACAGCATGCGAAGGAAAAAGAAAAGTGTAATGATAGCACCAAGGAACCCAATCCGACTTTAGTGCCAATTGTGCCGTGCGAAATGCTGTTAGTGCCGCGTTGTTGTTCGTGTCCATGTTGTGATTACATAATGGGACGCTGCTGAAAGTCAAAGTCCAAGTAGAAGTCCCAAGTGTATGAAAGCCAGGCGGCAGCCATATCTCAACTCGCCGCAACTAACTCAGCCGAAGTAGAAGGCGAGGCAAAAGGACCAGCCCATCTCCATCTGCAGGACTCCGAGGAGCGAGGATGCCCTTCGGCCGCAAGTCCCCGCTGGAGGCACTGGCCCTTCCCGGCGTCATGCTCGCCTACAAGTACAGCCAGTTCCGCCAGCGCCGCCGGGAGGCCGCCAGCCGACGGGTCACCGAGCGCGAACTCTCGGCGCTGCACCATAAAATCGTGAGTACAATTGGCGAGCTTCGGAAAACAAAGTCATTGCTACACGTCAACGGGTTGTGCTGGGTATCAGAAACACGGAAGCACTTCCGCGGAATATGAAAAGACTTTCGAAAAGCCAGAAAGTTTAACAAAAAGTTAGGTTTAACCACAAAGCTAGCCAGGAAGGTTATGATTAAAAGACTATACAACGTTTTTAATGATTTTGAACGAGACGAGCTTTCCTTTTTTATTTTATAAAATAATGTAGTAAGCGCGATATAAAAATGAAGGGGCGCCGAAAAAAGTTTATCCGTCAATCTGTAAAACTGCCATCAAAACCATTAAACTACCATGCTATGAGAAACTTCAAAACTTTGAACATATTGCGGTGCAGGGTACTTGACCCATTATCCTCCGAAGTTGTGCTTGGCTTCTTGTTTATGTACCGGTTTGGTCCTTTTGGCTTTTCCCTGCCACCCATAAAAAAATAACGCAATAAAAGAAGCGAAACGGGAAAACAGAGGTGGCTGTTTATCAAAAGCAGGCGAAAGGCGGACGAAAGTCAGGCATCATTAGCGGCGTGGTTCGATGGAGAAGCTCGACAAAAAAAAAACGCCCCAGCTCTTGGGCCTTTTTAAAGTGGCGCTCTTCCTGCTTTTCTGTTTGTTTTGGCTCCGGCCTCACTCTCACACTTACAGCTGGCAAATAGTTATAAAAATAAAAGGCACACACAACGCATCAAACACATCAAAACAAGGTGAGGCTTGGCTCGGCTCGACTAAGCTCGGTTTGTCATGGCCCGCAAAAGTAGGCAATAAAAAACGCCATAACTTGTGCGATAGTTCACATGTGTGTGTCCTCCTAAACTTATTTGCATTTTAAGGGTCAATAAAAAATGTACAAGCAAGAAAGCAGGCGGAGTCCAAGAAAAGTTTTAGATACCAGATTTCTCTGGCCATTTGACGTAACATTTGGCTTTTTTATGGAATACATGCTTTGATCTTGGCCATGAAAAAGTAAATATGTATGTCTACTATGGCTTGTTCATTGTATAAAATAATTGAACCTCATTAATTGGGGAAGCCATAAATAGCCAATAATGGCATTAATAACCCAATTTACGCAAACTAGTTAGCATCATTAAATATATACCCGTCGCATGAAAACATTAAGTTATAAAGCACAACTCATTTGCATTTGCCACAGGACCAAATGTGCAACGCGGCCAACTGCAAAAGGCTAAGTTCACTTGGGATTTTAGTAGACTTGCTTTTGAAATTTATGACTTTCAAAGCCATAGACTGCCACGCCCACTTGCACACACCACTTGCAAGCACACTCAGTCTCTTACACACACACACAGACACATCAGCACTCTCTTGTTCGCACTTGGGCACTTATATAAGGAGAGCAGCAGCAACAACAATTGCCAAGTGCACAAACAGGAAAAAGTCCTGGCAGCACTAAGCTAGGCTCAACTGTTTTGCATAAAATCTGACGCGTGACTGTAATTTCTCTGCGCCGACCTTGAAAAGCAGCTCACACACCATAGCACACACCAGAACACACACGCACACCAGCACCCCGATACATTAGCAAAAATGGGCAAATACACAAAAAATGCTTTTATGCCACATTAAAATTCACAAAAGCCTGACCAGACTGCCTTCGAAAAATGCTTTCACAATTAAATGGCCCTTGGCTGGAAAATTCTACTTCAGGTTGCATAGCGAATTAGGGCTAATTATACTAAAAGTCCCATTAAACTAATGGTATAACTTGTTTATAATAAATAAAAGTATGCTAATACACACCTAATGATAAAGAATGCCATGACAGATAAGCAGTTAGGTAGTGAATCCAAAAAAACCAAATATGTATTACAAAGTGAATGAATCTGTATCGAAACTCGACGGGTTATGCCAAATAAGCTACAGATCCTGGCCATAAATATGTCTCAAAAGAACCTCACGCACACCACGCCAGAATTCCAGCTGAGCCAGGCTAAGCCGATGTAATCCCGCAGAGGAGAGGTTCCCGCACTCACACACCCATGCAAACTCACACACACAAACGGGCGAGACACGCACACATGTACACGGTGTCGTTTCGTAATCCCCAAAAGTATGCAGCGACAAAATTGTCATTTACTCCGTGCTGAGAGGACCGGCAAGAAGCGGGCCTAAAAACGCGGCGCAGAAGCGGGTCTTTCGCGATATGTTATTAATGCAAATACGCATAATATATAACAAGTTGATTAGCTGAGCGCAAGGGGAATAGAGCCATAGAGTAATGGGTTTGGGCCCAGGCAGACAATCCTTTTTGCGGTTAAAAGGGAAATGCTGTCAAAACTAGCCCCGTCCCGCAGAAGGAAGTCGCGTGACTATCCAACATCAGGGCGAAAAACACAGAAACTGGTGAACCCAAAACGAGACCTCCAGGCAGGACCTCCAACTGGACATTTTCGGTCAGGCAATGGGAAGTGAAATTTATAATTTACTTTGCAGAAAGGTAAGGGGGCGGAAGTTGTCACCTGGCGTGGCATTGGAAATAGGTGCAAATTAATGAATCCTCAGTCTGCCGCAAAGGTCAAACTCTGCCCTTTGCCTGCTATATTTTCTATTTTCCCCCATTTCTGTGTTTGAAACTAAATTGAAATGTAGGCATGCTGATACATGATTATTAGCTGCTGCAGTTCCTGCAGTCGAATGTCCTTTGCATTTGCCGCCCTCCCTTTCTCTCCCTCTCTCTGTCTGTCTCTTGCCCAGCTGCCGCTTGACCTCCCGGCAGCCGTCTCTTTCTACGCCCCTTTGTGGGTCTTTAGCAATAAATGACCGCACAATTTGACTTGGCACTTGCAACGTGCACACAAAAAAGAATTGGTAAAAAAGAATCCAGCTTAGTCATCCAAATGCCAAAACAGTTGGTTTGGCCAACACTGGTTTTGGCCTGGTCTTTGGTCTACGGCTTTCCTTTGAGATCCTTTCAAGTTGCCTTGGCATTGCCTGTAGCTTTTGAATGGATATGATAGCTTGCAGTGCACAGTGTAAGGAGTGACAAAAATAATATTGCCCTAATTCTTTAAATCAAACAGTAAAAGCGAAAAGAGTTTACAGAATTTAATAAGTGCTATGTAAAATGCAATTGAAGGATACTTTGCTCATGTATTTGATATCAAAATTATTGCATAAACGTTAAGTACACAAACCTCGTAAATAATTCTTACGCGCTGCTTGAGATATTGCAAAATAATTTCAAATGGCACCATACTTAGCTGTGATAGCCAAGCAACTAGAAGAGTGTTGCCGAGTATCACATATAATCCTTTTATTCCACCCCGTAGCCGTTCTTTTGTGGTCAGCGCAAATATTTGCCATTGCATTTTACCACCCGACCGGAATCGGAATCGGAATCGGAAGCGGCATCGCTTGACCATAAATCAGACACAAAAAGCATTTGAAAGTAATTCCATTTTGAGTGCCCGCTTTCGGTGTGCTCGACATAGCGCCTTGGGTGTCGTTTCGGATCGGTTTACCTTGCACCGGGGCCAGTTTGTGCCACCTGGCCAGTTGGCCCGCTGCAAGCCGGCGGTCGCCATGGCTGGACCTTTGAAATAAATCATTAAGATCGGGCATTAGTCAATTTGATGGTCGCTGAGCCACTGCCATTTAGCGGGAAATGGTCATTAAAGAGGTCCGTTGAGGTCCCTGAATTGGGCACGCAATGCAGAAGCCGGATATCCGCTGGGTGTTTATTCAACTCCCACTTTCCAAGAAGTAATTGAACTCTTGTGTCGCAGCAGACACGCAACTTTCTGCAGGATAATGGCAAACGACGCAGTCGTCTCCCCGCCATATTTAACTTTACATGCGAAAATGTCAGCGTGTGCTCCTTTGTCGTCTGCGAACTTCCGCCTTTCCACTTCCGTTTCCCCGCTCTCAATTAGAGTGCATTAAACTTTAGTGTTTACGCATGGGTTGCGCTGTTCTTTCCTTTGTTGCTGCCAGATTTTCTTGGGCCATCACGTGCTGCACCGAAAAAGGGTTGTGCCAAGTCTCCTAACCCCCCACAATATTTTCCAACCATCCTCGGTCTCTTGGGGCGCGGCCATGCATTAGCGCAGGTCACGCGATGTCTGCACCACTATACTATATAGTCTGTACACACACACACACACACACACACGTGCATAAGAGACGAGCTGGAATCAGGGTATATGGTATATTTATAAGGGGGTTATTTTCCAACGCAGACGTTTACCTTAATTGCATTGATTGGAGCATTTAGAGTGGCCAGTCGATGTGGAACGCGATATGTACGAGTATATGCAATTATTTCCGAAGGCTTTTCAAGTCACACATTAGGATTGTAATTACTCACGGAGCGAAAAATAGAAAATGTCATAAAAATGATAATCAATTTCATAAAGAGTATATAAGTACTGCGTACAGCTACTTTGCACATCAAAATGCTAAGCTTAGACAAACTAAATGGGTTAAGGCCAGGGCACTTTATTCAATATTCCATGCAGCTTACACAAGCCCACTTTCATAGATTTAGCCAACTCTTTGCTCTGACCATTGTCACATTTCATTACGCGGCAGTCGAGATAAGCCCGCAAAAAGTTTTATCCCCTGCCGAGTGGCCGTGTGGGTTCTGTGCTACAAAGAATAAATAAAAATTCAGAGAAGATAATAAAAAATGGCAGGCACAGCGAAAAAATGTGGCTGAACAAAAAAGTACAATATATTGCAAAAAGGGGAACACAGAAGGCGGATGCGAAATTGGAACTGGGCCCAACAGCACCAACACAGTTGCCACTACACGCACACACACTCGCACAACCGACCACACCCACCCACCAACACACACACAGAAAACTCCAGCCCCTGGCAATGCGTTTTGGTTTCGGCTGAAGGCCAGATTTCAATTAAAATTTATTGTTTGTGCCAAAAGGAAAGCGAAATAAATTGAAAAATAATAAATTGAAATGCGAGATTTATTTTTAAATGGCGCCCAGC